AAAATTGACGAATTTCGAGTTGCGCACCTTTTGAAGAGGGTGTGCGACATGTTATGAAAATGGATAAAAAGGATAGATAATCAGATTGCCTATCCAAAGAAAGCGTCAGCTAATATTCGAAAGTCAAATACTGATGTAGATCGATGAATTAAGAATGACAGTTATGAGTACACAACTTGAGAACGACAGCAATAAAGAAGCAATAAAGGGGATAAAGGGGAAGAAGTTATGCAATCTATAAAAACGAAAGTTTTATGTATTTAAGATCATCACGCAAAAATTACTAGATCTATTTTGAAAATATTTAAAAATTTATCAGTTTGAAACAGTTTTTGATATAACAAGAATTGCACATATTTAGGCATGAAAGAAACGACACTTTTTTATTAAGTAATTTAATTTTATTTAAAGTAATTTTCAAATATTTGGGCATTTAAAAATTTGTACTGGAGAGCTACTAATAACTAAAGTGGATGCAACACAGTACCAATACACTCTCTAATAACTTTTGTCGGAGTTGTGCATCTTCAGATTCAAAGAAAATTGTATTCTATTTATTTGCCAGTGCTAAGCTTTTGAGAAAATTCTTCAGACTTAAATCACAATACTTATTTAACCCAATTTGGACCAAATTCGTACTATTGAGCTGTTTTAACTAAAGCGGATGCAACTAAGTACCAGTACACTCTCTAATAACTTTTGTTAGATTCATGGATCTTCAGATTCAAAGAAAGCCGTCATCGTTTAAAATTAGAGCGATAGTCAAGTTTATAGATTTATCAGATTGGTGTCCTTTTACTTGAATGGCTTAGTTCCGAATTTTCAAAGGGACGTTGTTTGTGAACAAGATGGTTAGGGTATCTTCAAGTCTGGTGTCTCATCCATTCACAAATGGTCAATTTTTGAGCTTGAGTAAGCTTTGGTGTTACATTAATCTAATCTTTGGTGCTACACTAATCTAATCTAACTTAGGTGACTGCATTAGATTTATCTATGATGTATGAAATCTGAATCAACAATTTAAAAAGGGTTTACAGTCAAATATATTATATTTATTAAAATTTATTGATATTGTGTTTAATCAGTACTAACTTTGTAGGTGGTTCTAATCCCTAAGGTGGTACTAATATTAATAGTAGCAAATATATTATATTTATTAAATTTTATTGATATGGTGTTTGATCAGTACTAACTTTAACCGCAATTGTCTAAAACTTTATCAAGTTTGTTGGGTTAGTTATTATTATGAATATAGAAAAAGTATGAAAATTCTTATTTGGAGTTCAGAGAAGTTGTAGGTGGTACTAATACTAATCAATTGATGTACATAAGAACTCTCTTACCTCAGTGGTGTAAACAGAGATAGCAGAGCATGTTTTCAGAATGAATTTTCAGTTAGCTTTAAAATAATATATTTTACTGAAAATATGAGCAATAATGTATATTAAACTTGAAGAAGTTTAACTTTGAAGAATTTTTTTCGCATTTTTTAATTACGAATTAAAATAATATCTAATATTTTTTGGGCCATTGAATGAAAATTGCGCTAAAACATTTCAATTTAATTCGACGATTTAATAATGATTCAAAAGTCTCAAGCTGATACTGGAATCGCTAGTACTCGCATGTTGTAACATAATTTTTTACCGAATTCATTAGAAGGTCAAAAGCCTTTGTTTTGTTTTTGTTAGCGCCAGCGACTTTTAACGCTATAAATAGAAAAATATGCAACTTTGTTTCGTGTAAAAAAAAACAAGATACGAAATATTTTATCTTTATCTTAATGGTGAGCAATCCAATGACCATATTGTTCATATCTTTCTCGTACAAATTATTCACTCGAATGATTTATTATAAAATCTTAGCTTTGTTATATTTTGTATGCATGAAATCAAAACGAGAAAAAGGTTCAAGAGATAAAATAATTACTTAAATGTATCTTTTACCGTTGCAATATTTAGGAAAATAATACAAATATTTCTGTTTGTTGTCTTTAAAAGATACTCAAAACTGTTTTCAATCTTAAAATAAAATAAAACTAAACAATAAAACTGAAAAAAATGGAAATGAGACAAAAGCAGAAACAAAGTTTAAAGCATTTTTATTTAAGAATTGGAAATATTTATTTAAATCAAAACAAAAGATTTACGAAGGAACTGTAAATTTTACAAAAGAAAATTGGTTTTTAAAGCTTCTACATTTATGTTGTAAATTATTACAAATTTTAACCTATGGATGTTTTTATATTTCTTGTTTATTTATATTTCATTCATATTGTAATTAATTGAGATAACATAGCAATATTAAACATGTTCTTATATATGTTAATTCTATTCTTCAAATAATATATTTATTTTTATTTCACAAAAAAATCCAAGAATACAATACAATGCTATACTTATTACTCCTAGTTGGTATTGTCCTATACGCTTAATGAGATTTACCGACTTTCTGGTAATTATTTGTACTTACTTTCCTGGTTTTAGTGAATGAGAACTAGCCACGAAATTATAATATGTATGTACTGTCAGCTCTCAGAACCAACAATATTGATACTAATATTATGCATCTTCTCTGTTTTTTTCTATACATTAAAATTGAACTGTACTAACAAGCTAAGATTCATGTTATTGAGTTAGCACTAGAGTTAAACTTACTAAAGCATTATAATATATCCATATCTATATATTTAGCCAAATAGCCATCAAAGCAGAAACTGACCAGAAAAAACATTGATGGGAACCTGGTCACAATGAGCAACAATGAGTTCATAGACAAAGTCGGGACGGACAATTCAATATTGTGGACTGCCATTTTGTTGTGGAATAAATAAGCACTCAATTGTCTTTGATAAAAAAAGTCTCTACTGGCACAACATTTTACATTACCGCCATCATCTGTGTTATCATCTAAGATGAGTCTATCTAAGGAGAAAGATGAGTTTTCTTATCACATTCTTTGTGTTGTTTCGCACTTAATTTCAACTAGGAGGAGAATTATAGGTCGGGCGGCCCAAGATTGACAATTTTTCAAGAGCAAAGTTTTCTGTTTAGCTTGGTTCAGTTAATAACACGGAAAATCAATAATGGCTCTGTGATTTCCTCCGTTGAGGATTTAAGTAACTTTTGATAGTACACTATTATAGGTGGGATCACATTACCTAAGTACAGGAATTCAATGGAATATTTCTTTTAGAAATATTCTATATTCTTTTACTCACATGCAAAACTCTCGTTTTGAATTTATTATATGTTCTTTTTCACAATCATTCTCTTAAAGTTAATTACTTTTACTTTATTATACGAATGTATGTCAGCAGAATTATCAGTTGCAATATAGAAGAAAAATAATATTTACTCTGCGATATTCAGATACTGGTTGTCGTTATTATAGTAGTTATGATAGTGTTTATGATAGTGGTTCTAATAGTTGTTATGAAAGTTGTGGTTTTAATTGATTAATCTCTTTATATTAATAAGATTGAATTGAACAAGTAGTTCTATGTATTTCTGCACTTGATAGCTCTCTCGACCTGTAATTAGGAATTGCAATCAACGGTTTTGTAGTGGTTGGTTTTTTACAGAATCTGTGTGGCTGAGAATAAATTACTGCCGTTGACATATTTTTAATTTTTATTTTTAAATCCAGCTGGGAGAACTGAACTATATTATAGACATCGGCAAGTTTATAGACATCGGTAAGAGTAATCTCTGTGCCTAAAGTTATGTTCAACGTATTATTGTTAAAACTTTAGAACCTTCAGTTTAGATAAAGCTATAGTTATTGTTTTTATTTTTACCTTAAAGAAACTTTTTTGGAAAAAAATGTATTAGTCTGCAGGGGTCTTTGAAATTATTTTCTTATATTTGTAATTTTCTAATTTAATTTTTTTTCTTATATTCCGTAATTTTCAGTGGAAAATACGGGATGGGTTAGATATTGTACTTTTAATTAATTGAATTGTAAATTAAATATTTCGTTTTTGTACGAAACATATTTTAACTTATGGAATTAAATTTGCAATGAACTATATAACTAATCTATTTAATTAGACTATTTAAATAGTCGGTGATGTGAAACCATAATATGTCAAAAAAAACTGATTTCTAGTAATGAATGAATACATAAAATTGAAAAACATTAAAACTGAAACTAAAGACATTTTCATCGAAACGTAAATTTGAGCCAAAACGGTACATATTTATAATTAAACAAAATCTAAAAACAATAAACAAAAATTAAAAATCTGAAGTTAAGTTTTTCATATATATACTTTATTTACACATACATTCATATAAACATCTTTTAAATAAATTTTTTGATGTTGATATTAAAACATATTAAAAGTAAAAAATTATGGCTTATGCTAATATTAGTAAAATTACCTAATATGTTAAAGACATTTTCATAAAATGGAGTAAATTATATTGTTTTAAACTTAATAAAACTATTCTTAAAACTAAATTGTTGTTTATTCTTGATTAGCATTTGTTTTTGTTTTTAAGTTAAAAATATTTACATAGTCAGTTAATAAATTATTTATTGTATTGTATCTTAATTAGCATTTATTCTCATTAAACTCATTTTAAAGCCAATTATTTGATTTAAAATTTTGGTTTCATTAATTATACATAAGTATTTATATATATTACTATAAGTATTCTTCAATATTTATAATGATTATTATGTTATAAACTTGTATTTTTAATATTTAATTTTTTTTTTGTTCACTTTAACATTAGTTAATATTAATATTAATAATAATATTATATATTATTTGTGAATATTTAATTCATTTTAAAATTATCACAACCGTCGCAAAACTTTCGCAACCGACAGTTTTCTGAATGATTGAATAAGTTATTAAAATATGTTATTTGTTTTATATAAATAATTTATATAACATTTACATTATAATAGAATTGCAATATTGTATTTAATAATTAAAAGTTATGTCTAAAACAAAACCTATAAAAGTACAACATATCAAACTATGGTGAAAGACTATTTTATTACCAAATACAATACAATAATTTTTATAGTTAATTAATTTGTAAAATTCAAGTATCAAAATAGATACAAATAAAGGGATTATTAAAATTATAAATTAAGAATTTCGATACTGTATCTAATTGTAATTTTGACTTGGCTTAACAGTTGTGACACTTCACTAAACCGACTTCATCACAGTTCATGCACTTCAATGCTACGAACTCGGCGGTAAAATGATTTCGATGTACGGATTTCTTGGAGCCGTTGCATGAGGGGCATGGCAAAAGGCGATATCCTCCGCACGTTTGACATGTGTACGTTGTTGCGATTGACTGGCAAAAAATAATTGAAAGAAATTAATAATTGTTTTATAAATATGTGTATTTTTTTGTAGGCGTCGTTTAAGAAATTCAAGTAGCAAAAACAGATTTGGTTGATCTTACCTTATATGGCTTCAGTAACTGACGCAATTCACCAGATTCGTTGAGGCGTTCAACTGTTTCAGCATCCTGTTAAAACAAAAAAAAAAATTTAATGTATTTTATAAGTATCTGCAAAAGTAGAGTTGAATTTTGTAATTTGAATTATATTTCATTATATTTCATTAAATATAATCTAATTTATTTAACTTTTACTTTATCAATGCTTCTTCTATATTTAAACAATAGAACTGCAATATAGTCGAACCTCTATAAAACAAAACTTAAGGGTAGAACAAAACCTTTAGAATAATGGAACTTTTAATTTATCCAGTTTTTGAATTATGGAATTCAAATACAAAAATCAAAAATTTAGCTATTTTTGTTGCAAATATACTTGTATTTCATCATATTACTGAAATACAGAAAGATCTAGAGTATGCGAACGACATTGTACGGCTTTTGCACTCATATCAGCAAATACAGTCGAAAATTAATGAATTACAAGACGAATCATCGAAGGTTCGTTTGAAGATAAATATCAGTAAAACTGCAGAGCACTGCGTATAAAAACCTAAAACTCAACTCGCTTTACACTCAATGGGTATCACATCGTAGACACCTAGAGCTTTACTTACTTAGGGAGTATTCTATCTTACTACGTAACATACATTTCTTATTCATTAAGCAACCCTACAGCAACAATAATAACGTTTCTGGGGTTTATCAATAAAATCTATTTGATTATTCCAAAGTCGAGTCGACCTTAAAATCTGTCTCTGAAACATGATGGAATAGTAGAATCAAAACAGTAAAAACGATATTTTTGCAATTTGATGATGGTATTGTATGTATGAAGGACCTGAGAAATTATAGCAACTGACTGAAGTAAACTAATAAAAAGACTATCGTAATACTGAATTTGAAAAAAAAAATGAATAAGCTTAATTGTTTGTAGAAAAAAGTAGTTATGAACCAGATTTCGTTTTGATATTGAAACGAATTTTTCAGTTCTAAATTATGGGTTTATGGAGTTGGTAAAAGTTAGGACTTGGTAACTGTCATTTGATTGACATTTGGTAAATCTGACTATCTATATTACTTTTATCGTGAAATCCTTTTTGTTTGTTGAAAGTGACACGAAAGATAGGACAAATCTTCCCACTGTCACTTAAATTCTTCTAAGTGGAGCTTGACATCTTTTTTCTTAAAGAATTCAGACGTTTCAATCAAGAAATTTTGCCTAAATTTAAAGAAAAACTAATGACCATATTATGACTTAAAAAGTTCGTTGAAATGCGGTAAAAAAAAAGTTTTTTTTATCACAATGATGATATCTTAATTGATACAGACTGTTGATTCTTAAAGTTTGAAGCTTCTCAAAGTTAAAATTTATTAAGACTTTCTTGAGAAGTATGATGAGTCACGAGAGACTATCTGTATGATCAATTATATCAATTAAAGCGAAAATTACTGGTGCAAATTATGATATAATTTGAAAAAAATTCAGCGAGGCTAAAAGCAGGAGAATTCATTTATTTTAATACGTGTTTATTTTAATTTGATAAACAATAAAACTTTTATACACGCTTCGTCGTGTTAGTGAATGTAATTTATTTACTTTTATAACTCGGAAAGGAAAGGAGCTTCGCAATTCTGATATCGCCGACGTCCAGAATTGGTCTAGCTCCGCTACTGCCCAAACCGATAATGTAAACGCTTGACTTTAGGTAACTAACTTCAGCAAAGTTCGACAGTTAAAGTTGATAATTTATATTGGAGACCAGCACATTATATTAACTCCTGGTGCCGTGACCTCTCGCGCTTCACAAAAAATTGAATGTTTAAATAAAATCAAATGTAGATAATGCAAAATTATACATAAGTAGTTAATCACATAGGAAGCAATTAAATACGTGAATGTGGAGGAAGAGAAACAAATTATTTTACTAATTTTTATTTTCCGTATGCACTAAGATTAATTTTAATTTATTTCATTATCAATTAAAAATAATTATAACAAATACAAACGAAAAGCACAGAAGCAGTTTTTTCATAGAAATAAAAAGTTTTAAATTAAATAAAAAGAAAATGCATTTATGGAGGAAACTTTGCATTCTGTATAATGTATTTGATTATTTTATAAATCATATAAATCTATATAAAAAGCATTAAACTATTAAATTCAATTATTTGAATTAATTTAAAATGACGGTGGCTAATTTGAAAACGTTAGCCACCGTTGAAAACGAATCAAACGAATCAAACGAATCAAATGAATTAAACGAATTAAAACGTACTGCATGCAGCATGAAGCCAATACTCACCGTTTGTATGCTAATTAGTATATACTATATACTAAACGTACATATGTCTATGGTAAGCATGACCAAGAGAAACTAATGAGTTTGTTTTAATAATTAAATTGCTTTAATTTTGTTATGTTTTGTAAATGTACGATTACAAGAAACTTTCCTGTAAAATGCTTACAAATATAATAATTAAAAAAATAAAAAAAAAAATTAAATAAAAATTATAAACAAAAATTCAGATAATTTTGATTGTTGCAAGAAGACTGCAAATGCGAGTACAAAGCCGTTTTCACTTTCTTCGTGAGATTTGCGTGGATTATTTGCCTGCTTGCGAAAATCGTTCACGTTCATTAACACAATTAGTCGCGTTTGTATGGGCAAGGAGCGCTCAGATCAGTGAGTAACTGACAGTGGCAATCGGAATGGCGCTGAGTTTGGGGCTCCGGTAGCTGGGCCCAGATTTTACTAGTTTCTTTTCAAAATATTGAACGAATGAAATAGATTGAGCGTATCTATTTCATTTTTATTGCTTTATATATTTCTGCAATCGGAGCATGGGGTGAAATGATAAAGATATTGTTGATAGGTTTTTGCCTTAATTTGCATAAAATGGTTTTGATTTGTTAACATGGCAAATGACTCTGTTAAAATTAACATTATCATTATCATTATCATCATCATCATCATTATCTACATCACATCAAGATAGTTGTTGTTGTGTTGTTGGTGTGAATAGATTGTTTTGTTGTGTTGCTAACAATAATAATAACCCGACGCTTGGAATTTGTGCTTATTGTCAGTTGTCAACGAATTCGCGGTGATTGGATTAAGAGGGGCAAAAGCAAAACACGCTTTGGTTTTGCTTATAATAAAAAATTATAAGTAATAACATAAATTTTCAAATAAAAAGTATAAACTTGTTATCATGAGAAACTTTAGGCGCATCACTGGGCGTTTGTTTGCAGTACAATGCGTTTATGCAGATACGCCAGAGATGATTTTTGTTCCATTATAAGTTTCTTTCGTGCTGCTTGGTACATACATGCTTTGGAAAGTGGGAAGATTAGATGGAGCAATACGTTTGGATTTGATTATTTTAAAGTCTTTCAGTCAATATTGAAAATTGTCATTATTTTCGAAACCGTCATTGAATTCTGTTAAAAATTTCACTTTTTTAAAATATTCATAAAATGTTGAACGATTTTATTTTATTGTTTTATGTTTGAAGTACATTTATTGAAACACTTCATTGAATATTAATGAACTTTGTTAATATTTTTCCCTTTATGTTCATTAACAGTTTTATATGATGGTTACGATTATGAAGATTATAATGTTAGATAGGCAAGTGTAAATATGTTATGAGTTTTGCAGTTTTTTGGTTTACGAAACAATCGACTTCAAACATGCGAATTTATTTAAACAAAAAAAAAATGATTTTTCTTATACACAAATATTCTAAAATTCCAAAAAAAAACTATTATTTAAATCAGTAATCACTACAAAATTTAATTTTTGCTAAACACTTATATCAGTACTCGTATGTACCATATAGTAAGCAGTCGCCGGATCCAAATTATTTTGAAATATGTAATTTTGATAACGTAAATTTTGTAACTATGTAGCTAAAATATTATCGAGTAACGAATAATGAAAAAAATTATGAAGTTAAAATTATATGTTATATACAGACAAGTGGTAACATTCCCAGATCTTATACTAAAAGCTACTTTGTAGTGAAAGATGGTCAATAATTCCGGTCAAAGTGCTACATATAATGATTACATTTCTTCTACCACTAGGCCCCCATTATTGAATTCGATAGTAACTTCATTGCTGATTTTCCATCTAATGACGCTTTCAAAAAGAGGGTTTAATCATGTTGGCGATTATTGTAGCGCTTTTTAGTTGAAAGTTTTTGCTATTAGAGAAGCTATAATCTGCCTTGTAGTAGATAATGTATTAAAAAAGAACGTATTATAATACTATCATAATCAGAATGCTTTACAGTCCTTGAATTCACATTCAATTATAATGCATTTGACCTTCCTTCATGATTTTTAGGAAACATGCTAGAAATTGAATTGTCTTTTAATTGATTATAGTCGTAGCGGTGAGAAAGAAGTTTAGCATTTAGTTAACGGTATTGTACGAAATGGGTTCTATTTTAAGATTTAAAAAATATTTTAAATTACAATGACACCAAAATACAACACTAAGGTAGAATCTTACAAACAAATTAGGTTATTGGTAATATTTTTACAAATAAACAGCAGTTGATGTTTTTAGTCTAAGTTGACGAAGTGATCCCAAAACATAAAAGTGTGACACGTTGTTTTAATAAGTTAAAGAACACACTCATGCCAGCAAATATACAACTCTTGTAGAAAAATTATTCAAGTAGTAGAACTTCTTAACCCATAATTCTCTACTTCGAAACAGTGGTGTAGGTTGGATTGTGCCGACTGGAGAAACACACTAAAAAATATTTTTTGGCAATGTTTTTGCAGTGTATTAACTATCTGTAGTTTATATTGTCAAGGGGAGGATTTATTGATATTCCCCCTGGATGCGACACTATTTCAGAACCTAATCTTAATAAAGCTGGAGTTCCTCAAAGACGTTAAATATGCTCACTACTATTTATACCACATACAAGTGACATGCTAAAGTTAGAGAACACATTATCCTCAATATTTGTTGATGACTTAGTAATACTATGTGTGTATAAAAATTCTGTAAAAGTTCAAAACATATTGCTAAAACGTGTTGACTTCATCGAATGTTCACTTACACAAATGTCGACTTACTCAAATTCACTGAACAGAAATGCACTCACATATCTTTTATCCTAAAACCAAAAAACTGTCCCACCATAAAAATGATTACTCAAAAAGTATTTTTGAACGTATATGTAACGTATATCGAGATATAAAAAATTTTAGCGCATAGAGGCTAAAAATTACATATAAACTTATTGTATTGGCTAATGGATACTTTATCCAAGCTAATATATCGAATAAAAAATTCTACTATAAAAATTATTAATAAAACTCATATGGAGTAATCAAATAAAAAAAAGGCTGCAAAGAGCTGCTTTATAGTTTATACAAATGCAAAAATAGAGATTTTGCCCGATCACTGAAAACAGGAGGAAGTGTTCGTTAAATCCGGCAGTACCTGTCAAAATTAAAAGAAGACCCCAATCTATTTGCATTTGTAATATTGTCGAATGAAGGATATAAACATTTAAAAAAAAAGAAACCATCGACTATTCTAGAAGCCAGATGTTTTTAACATATTATTCTGATTATTTTTTTGGCAAATTTTGCAATTCGCTTATCCAAAACATTGGCTTAAGTAAAAATAAAGTCATGCTTTTAAGATTTGAAGTACTTATTATCAGTTTCCAATTTCCATAAAAGAGATTCAATAAAAAAAAAATGAATATGTAAAGTAAAATAGCTTACGTTATTTATTTTAGTTTATAAATATTTATTTTGGTGCCTAAATTATGTTTGTTCTTAAGAAGGTTTGAAAATTTTACACGTCCAAAATTAATTTTATTGAAAAGTTTCGGTTGTTTGTAAATATTTTCTTTGTGTTCGTCTTTCATATTATGTTGAGGCTAGTTGAGTCAGTGTACTTGAACACTTTTACTCACTGTTAACTGCGAGGATTCTTCATAACCCCTCTCTACGCCTTGGCTAGATTATTGTGTACCACTTCATCAGACTAAGCAATAACTGACCTCAGATCTGCATTCCTCTCCGAGGAGCTTGTAACCATTCTGAGTTTCGATAACGCGATCGGTTTTTGTAAATAATTTCAGGGCGCTATCCTTTATATATTTTTTGATTGGATCAATTTTGAGGTCCTTGAGGATGTCTTTTATTAATTAATACTTTATAATATTTAGAACGTTTTTTGGATAACAAATTTTAATGCATCTCTCGCCGATTAAAGTGATAAATTGATTTTTATTCCTAACGGATTCCTAACAGATATACTGTATAAAATGATATTATACAAGTTGAGTAGTTGTAAGGTAATATTTTATATATATATAAAATTTTTTGGTTCATATACCTACATTTTGTAATGGTATTTTATTGTGATTTATGCGCCTAAATAAACACTAATTTCCAATGAGTTTGTAACCATAAAGAAACATATGTTGCGGTGTATGTGCCTTTTTAGATAGGATGTACATGATCATAACATACTTGAACATATATCGATTTGATTTATTAACAATTAGTAATTAATTTATACTAAATGACAGTACCAGTTTCTATTGATAAAATAATATTGTATACACACATATGTTTATATAATATAATATAAACAATATATATAAAAAGTTTATAAAAGTTTTTTTATTTTTGATGTATATTTTTTCTCTTATTTTCTGGTGAAACAACTGTAAACACATTATAAATGCACTAAAAACATGCAAGGCAATGGAAGCGACAAATGCATTGTATATTATTTGTTTATTACAAACACAAATAAATAAAAAAAAACAAATTGAAATTATAAAAATTAAGCAAAATGGAAACAATAAAAGCTGAAAAACGGGCAGCAAGACAGCATAAGTTTTGCAACAAACTTGCAGTTTGCGGAGTGGTAGCAGAAGCTTGATTTTTGCAAGAGAGCGCAATCTATCATGCAACCATTAAACTTCGTGATTTTACATTGTACCTGATGATGATCTTTTTTGTTTTTAGTTTTGGTCTATAGCTTTAGATGAAATTGTGAAGCACCTCAAGCTAATGTATATACACATATTTTTTTATAATTTTATTTTTTTTTTTAGCGAAAATGTCATATTCGTCTCATCGCATAAGACTTTAAATTTATATAGTCACAAATTCAGCACAATCACATATCTACATTCAAGTAATCGCAAACCTAATTTACTATATTTTTGCACTTGTATTCATTACTCACCCCGATGTGTTGCCCTTCCACAAAAAGTTGAGGTACTTTAATCGCTTCCGAGTGCATGCGCTCTTTTATTTCTTGCTGATATTCTACGCTCATAAATACATCACGTTCCTCGAATTTCACCAGCAGCGTTCGCAGTATTTGCTTAACATTTGAACATTTGGCATAGGTGTCACGTATGATTCCCATACTGGTGGTATAAAGTACTACTTTACCCAAATCTTTTTCCATGTAGTTCTGCAAAACACATGAAAATAAGCAATTAATAAAAAATATTTCGAAAGTAATTACAAGGTAAGATAATAAATATTAAAATTTAACACAAAAACAAAAAAAAAAATAATTTAAAGTTAAATAATAAAAATACCTTCTGATGTACTACAAAATTTAAAATTATATTTCAGAGTCTCTTCGGGTAGTATAAAGACCCCTGAAATTGTAGCTTATTAATATATTCATTAAAATAATAAATAATTATATTTTATATCCCGATTGTGTTTATATTTTGGGTAATAATTTATAATAATAAAAACATTTTTAATTATACCTTATGAAAAGAAAAGTTTCAAACTTTATATAAGTCTCGCAGGTAAGGCAGAAATGATTAATAAATTGTTAATATGTTACAACAGAACACCAATTTATCATGTGTTTAATTTATTAATATATTAAATTCAAAAATTATAATATAAACTTCGTAACTCTTTGCAGATATTTGCTACAGGCAACGTACTTACACACGTAATGTAATAATATTATTGTTAAAATGATTAAAATTACTATACTTGGTAACAAAAATTGAAAACGCTTTAACATATAAGATAATTGTATTGGTTTTAATTTCACATTCTTCATTTCATTCTCCATCCAAATTACATATATTCCTATAAATGCTACTAAAAATTATTATTTCGAAAACATCGAAAATGAGATATTTGTAAAATTATTGGACATTATTGGGCTTTAGGTAATCCAAATAACTTACTGGAACTAATAACAAAAAAGACGTTAAGATTGTTAGTCAAAATGTATCCGTACTCAGATTAAATATTAATTTCTTAACTTGACATGCTAGTATTAACTAAAATCTATCAAAATTAGTTTCAAAGGGTGCTGAAAACTAAAACATTAATCTCATTTCTCCAAAAAATTGGTTATCAAAAATTATTCGAGTACCTGATTTTATTAAACGAAAAAAATTTGGAAAATTTGAATAGAGTATCTTTCTACTCTTATTTGAATATATCCTTCTACTCTTATAGCAAAATAATAATAAAAATGATCACTATATTATAAAAAGTTCTAAGTTTAGAAAAAAACGGCTTATAGTATTAGTCTTAGAAAAAGTGAACTCAAAGAAATACAACACTAGATAAATACTTGGAATAAAGAAAAATAGCTTTAATGTGCTAAGAGACTTTATATATTTGGCATCGAATACAAATTGTGACAATATCATAAGCAATGAAATAATAAGAATGCTAATCGTTGCAAAAAGTCATATTAGTGAATAGTTAAGCAATCAGAAAAGCTGATAAACTACAACCAAAACTGGAAACTTAAGGTTTAGTGGGAATATAACTAGAGTAAGTCTAATTAATCTCGATAGAAAATAATTAGTTCACGGAGAACTGCTAGAGGGAGGGTGGATATTCATATGATAATTAAATTAAAAATTTTTGGGCTAATTATAATATTATGTACAAATTTCTGTACTTATATACAAATTAGACAAATATTTAACGACAAGAAATGGAAATAGTATTTCCCATAAGTGTCAGTATGATGGATCTTCATCCAAATCTAAAGTTATTCAAAAAAACTTTTTACAAAAATCCTAATAATATGCATCTGTTCCATACATATAAAGATTGCTAAATAAATAATAAGAAGTAAATCATATTCATACATGTATATATGTACATAAATATATATATGTCTGTGTATATAATGCTGAAAATAACATATTAAGTGTTGAATGGTATTATATAGAATATGCATATATAATAAATAAAATGAGTTTCAAGTCAATATATATATAATTTGATTTTAAGAATTTATTGTATGTATATATTATATATAACAACATATAACGCTTTTATATTTCATTTCCAATATTTATTTATTGAAGAATAACAATATAAACTTAATTTCGTTTACTTTTTCATAAGCGGTTCACAGCGGCTCATATGCCAAACAAGTCAAAAGTGGGTTTAAATAGTTTGAAAGCCAACATATTTGTAGCAACGAAGTTCATGGTGACCACATTTGGAGTACAACAGAAAAATTAGCTCGTGACACAATAACCCAAAAATGCTTAAATAAACCATAAAATAAAAGCAAAGCCGAAAAAGTAAAATTATGAAGTGGAATTCGTAGTTAAAAATGATACAAAAATAACAGCGCTTAAATGCCACGAAAGAAAAAAGGCAAACCTATTAAAATTAGCCATGACCACAAGCGCAGGACGTCACTACTAAGTTGGCGCATGGCCAACACAGTGGGCAGAACCGATTAATTCAACAATTTGCGGCACAGATTGGTTTTGATAGAAAAAGGTGCCGTAGCAAAACTGGTTAATATTATTTATGAAGCAGTTGAAGTACAAATAAATAAGTGAAAGAGAATTAAAAATTAATTGAGATTAAATTTTTATTTAAAAAGACTCAGAAAATAATGACCACATTATTTAAAAAATAATAATATTAATTAATTAACTTATACGTATATTTTTACAAATTTAAAAGAAACATACATTAACTACATATAATACAATTTTTACTTTTTACTTATCTTATAATTATCTATCTATATTATCTTAATACAATACAAAATTACAAAAATTTTCTTATACAAAATTTCGAAAACAAAAATTTTATTTAATGATGATGCACTGCATATAAAGCTATCTTTAGGTTCTATATATAGAATATATATCATATAGAATATGATTTCTTTTCAGTTGTCTGTTTTTTCACTGTTGTCTAACAGACAGAAGGCAAGCAAATTTGAGTGAACTTCAAATCTATGGATGTATCTGCAAGTTAACGTTTTTATTTGGTCTCTTTTCCAAGGAATCTCTAAGTCTTTGTGTAATTGATCGTTTGACACATGCCAAAGGGCATCTGTAATCATTCGCAAAGTGATTGACTGGAATTTTTCCAATATTTCAATGTTTTAGTTACCAAAATATTTTGGTTTCCGTTATTTGGATAATATTCTTAGAAAATTAATAATAATGCTGATATAGGTATACATATAGTACAAGAAATTTCTTAAAACTATTCTATGCTGTTGCCCGTGATCAGATGCAGCGAAAATATTTTTTCTGTTTTATAAACAATTTAAAATGTCTAAAGGAATGCAATTTTTAAAATTTTACCTGTTTTTATTGTCGAATTGTTAATAATATTATTTCCATTAGCCAACTTTAAATGTTTGTGAACATTGAGAGAAATAAATATAACGCAGATACTGAATTTAATATGCAATAGCAAAAAGGCTAGTTACTGACTTCAAAAATGGTAGTATCACCAAAAATGGTAGTTAATAAATATCTTTTTGCAAAACCGAAAACTGTCCCCACTGATAAAAATATCTTAATGTAAGCCAGTGGGTGGGTATTTTTCTTTATTACATTTGGAAATTATTTAATGAAGATTTAGGCATAACTATGGTTTCCAATGATTTTGTTCTGTGTTTGCTAATATATATCAAAAAATAAAAATTTATAAATTTTTAATAATTTCTAAGCCACTGCTAGAACAGTTCATTATTGTTGAAACATGGATTCGCCAATATATTCTAAAAAAGAAACACTAAATCAAAACACTAAATTAAAGTTAAGGACGCCTCGAAGAACTTAAATAATGTGTTCTCAAACAGTGTGGTCAAGACTACAGTCTTTTTTTTGGGACAACAAGGGTATGCCGTATGATATATATATATATATTGTTATATAATTATATGATGCATTCATATTTTATATTAAAGTATATGATATAAATGATATGATTTATGTTGTAAAAGTCTTCGCACATCCATGATATATATACATTCATATATATATACATAACGTGTTTTGAAATCTTTGTTGTTCTATAAACAAACAAAAATAAGTTTATGACTATTAATTCTTTATTGAAAAGATTAGATTTTTGATATAAGTTTCACATTTCACTTCTGCTTATTGCTATAATGCTATTCTTTCTATATTTTAACGCTTTTTAGCGAAATTAGTTTTTTTTCAATTAAAATTATTACAGTATCATTAAGAACAGATGATCAGAAGTACTTAATCCTAATCCTAAATAAGAACTTATTTTTTTCAAGCCTGCCTAAGTACAGTAGTATAATAGTTCGCATTTTTCCTTAAGTTCTCCAAAATGAACTGATCCTTGCTTTACCCACTTTACTTCATTTACTTTTATTTTTATCTTGTTTTTAAGGTTTACGAAAGACCTACCTTATAAAGTATATACTACGTTAAAATATAATTTCAACAAGAACGTAATTGAGTTATGTTGTAATCTTAGAATCTGTAATACTTATATAGTATGCATCCAAGTTCTTTACATCTTGAAACATGGCAAGTTTCTAAACTAGTGTTCAAAATTATAACTAAAAACACTGAAGTGAAAGTTTTGATATAAATTAGTAAAGTCTGTACTAATTTGTCTGTTTGATACGTTTGTCTGTTTCTATACGATATGATAAGTGATATGTTATGGGACCTAAACGGTCAGCAATCACTGCAATTAATAATGAGGTATTATTTATTTTCTGTTTATAGTATTTCTCTTTCACAATTGACTATATTTATTATTATCGGCAGATTTGATTAAGTATTTTTCATTTTTGTAAATAGACATAAATGACTTTTGTATTTTGTATTTGTTTTAAAATTGGTGTATCAAATACACTCTAAAAGACACCTCAGATGATATATAGGTAAAAGTTCTTTGGGACTAATCATATAAAATTATATCAAATTGGAGGAGGGTTTGTTACAAATCAATTACTAGTTTAACTAATTTCGACTATTAAATTGAATTTCTTTTCTAAAATGACAAAAATTTGCCTTAGTAATACTTAAACGTCCCCTAATATACAAATGGTTATATTCATTTACATAGTTGATGTAAGAATCCATTTGTTAACCATGAATAAGTGATTTATAGATAACTTCAAAAATTTTCTTTGCTACATTGAGCAAAGAAAGTATCTTAATAAAGTGT